CGTCCGTGGATAAGACGGAAAACGGGGCGCACCCCGGGAAAACCCTGCCGCAACCTGCTGGGTGTCACGTAAACACATCCATCACGCTGCGTGTTGCGGATTAGGTGCTATCTGCGGGATAGAATCTCGTTACCCCGACGATGATAACGCGCTCGTCATGACGCCGCGTATTTTTGTCTTTTTTATTGCTCGCAACATATATATATTCGCGAATATGATACGCGCAATGTGACGAAATATTCCCGGGTTACGCTAACACACACCCGCCGATATAACTCCCTCGCACAGAGGGCTTGAAAATAGTGTTTGCTTTGCGGGAACTCGGTTCACCGAACATGTTTTCCTTGCATCATGTTTTCATTGCATGCATGGCGATTACATCGTTGTAAGTGCCTTGCAATCGCACGCTCTACTATTTAGCAAACTGCAAAAAAGTTACGGGGGCCTGTTCCCTTCGTGTTTATCCCGTGTAAAAGTATGTCACATAATCACTGCAATCGTTTGTGATTAATTAGATGTTATAACGTGATGAGATAATAGCGATGAAATAAAGCGGCGAAAAAAAATTAAATTTACTGGTTTTTGGTTGTGCGTTATATCTGTAAATATTTATACATATATTTTTATATTTAAATAAATGTATATTTATTTTTGCTGTTTCGCAAATTGTAAAAAAAAAAAAAAAAGAAAATACGTTATTTTTGAGCGCGATAAATTGTTCAGAAAAATTTGAGACCGATGCCATACGCGTTTCTGTTGACGAATAGCATGACACTTCTGAATGATTCATAACGACCTTTTTTTTTTTTTTTTTATAAATACGCTTATATTAAATCCACGTTATCCATTTAAATTTTAAATTTAACACAAACTACGCGTTTTGTTAGCATGATACCGCAGTATATTGCATCTGCCACATTACATACAACGTGTCATCTTCTCCGTGGAAAAAGCATGAAGCGATCGCAATATGAAGCATCGTTTGATCTTTCGCGACAAAATATTGTGTTAATATAAACAGACTGTACATATATATAATATGATGGAAGAGACGCGCAATGCTTGTAACACATTATTAATTTATGTTTAACGCGTACTTTTGTTCTTATTTATATCTTTACAACGTCGCGTGTACGTAATAAATGATAGAGATTATATTTTATAAATAATAACGGTCTTGCGTGGATCTGGCTGCAAATTGCACAGGAGAAAGATACAGCGAGAAACAGCAAATAAATACTTCGGTCGCGACTCGTAAATATATCAGTTTGTTTTCTTTTCAGATTGTATTGTTTAAACGATCGTTACGTGCAAATTGCACTTGTTATATGACGTCGCGTTTTTCAATGATCATATTGTTGTTGTAATTAATATAATTATCTATGGCTGTGCGACATAATTTCCGGTATATAATAAAGCAGCATTTTTTTATTACAAACGTTGTACACGTAGGACTCCTTTTTACACGGTCTTTTTTTTACACGATTTTAAAGTTACACGGTTTCTTTTAACATGATTTATTCACAGTTGCACGAGTTTTTTTTTTAATACATTATGTACATTATGTACCGTAATAATTTAAATAAAATGCTTTAGCGAATGCATTATATGTTTTAAATTACTTTTTATATGATCTTTTGGGATAGTTTGCGTTGTTTAAAACAAGTTTTTTATACTTTGTTGCCAAATGAAAATTGCATGACTTTTTTTACACGAGTTTTTTTACTTACGGTACGCTTTCACCGTAAAAGGAGTGTAAAAGGAGTTCTGGGTGTATTACTTTTTATCCAACACAATTTTAATTACTTTCAGTCTTTTCATGCAGTTTCGAAAAAATACAATCACGAAAAACTGACGACGACTCGACAAACGAATGATTGGATAACATCAATAATTTGTTATGCTATTCGCTATCGAGATTAACAGTCACTATTACTATTAATAATAAACTATTTGTACTGCAATCAGACTCTTGCTGCGATTAACGTATCTCCATATTTACTCCTAATTTAATCATTGCATGACCGTCGACAGGCATATAGTTCACATCTGCAGCCGACAGTGGTACAGCAACGTAGCAAATATATAGCGATACTATGCAACGACGTACACGAATGGTTGCGCGAACGTATAAATTTCGTCGCCGTCTGGGTTTCATATGGAGCGTGCCATTGAAACATGTTTTTGCTATGAATTCGACAAATATTTGCCCGCGTGACACGGGAAGGTTGACATATGCCGTTATGAAAAAACCACGAGCGATAAGAGATCAATCGCGTGTACGTTATTTCGCGGCGTGGAAAATTACATAGGCAACTGACGAGGCGCCGACTAGTAACAATCAATTTTCATTTAACAATACGCGATAAAATCGCACGTCAAATCAAAAATAAAATATCAACTTGAGGTCAATGTGTATTTTCGGTAGATATTCTCTCGTTTGCTATTCTCGTTAACTATTGAAAAATGTTATCGTGTTGTTTGTCAGAGATTGCGATTCGCGCGTTCTCAATAAAATTAACATTTTGTTTCTCTTTGACTTAGATTTATACGTAAAACAAAAATTGTCACATTTATTTACGAGCAATACGCAATTTACGAACAAAGTGTATTTAGTTCATTTAAATCAACTTTTGCCCGTCGCTTTGTCGGTTCACAAACTGGTCTCTCTAAGCATTTAAGATATTTACAACGGAAGAGATATTTTCGTCCATTTTCTGGGCGTACACACAGAATGTACGACTCGGTGTAGCGTTTCGTTTTGCTGATCCTTTCTGCTTGTTCTCTGGTCCCTCGCTTTAGCCTGCATCTTCAACCCGCATTTTCTGCAGCGCGGCCTCCGACCACCCCGCATCCCTACGGGCGGTTGCTTCGCTTTCTCTCCGCAGTATTTCTTTGCTCTTCTAAAAAGGAAAGAGCGCTTTTTCCTTTCCCCGACGTCTCATCCTTCGTCTTAGTAATAATTGAATTCGCATTATATCGGCTACTCCATGCGCGAAAAACCGTGGAAGAAACCGAATGCGGCGCGAAAGAGTCGCGCAGACCTTTCACGTTTGAAATTGAAAATTAAGGGAAAGAGAATGTATAAGACAACGGATGAAAATGCGAGAGAGAGAGAAAGAGAGAGAAGCACCCGCGTATTGTTCCTCCGCCATCCGCGACAATCCGATTAGATAGATCCGCAGTACGCAGGCCAGAATGCGGGAAGCTATCCTTTGATTTGGAAGCTAATTTGCTCTTATCGAGAGGAGGAACAAAGAAAGTTGTTCGCTTAACAAGCGTATTATTTTCATCCTTAGAAAATTTCTTCAATTTAAATAATTTAAAGCATTAAGTTTAGATTAGGTTAGGTTAGATAATAAAATTCGTACACGGCGATAAAAATTATGCAATTCGGTAATTTAATGCAATTTACTAAAATATATTCGTACATGACATAAAATTGCAAAAGTACATGCATGAAAGAATGAGGAATAAAATGCAATCACTTTGTTAATGGAATTACAAAATGCGTTTTTGAATTCAATATAACTTGAATTAATTGGATTTAATATATGCAATCTATGAGTTCATCACATTTTAAAATCTCGATCGGCTAACATAAAGTTATGCCGGCGCGAAATAAAAATAATACGCGCGGAACGCAATTAATAATTATTCTTTCGCGCCAATAAAATCAATAAACCGAAATAGATTATTCCAGTTTCCCGTTCTCCGTCATAGAATTCACGCGACATAAACACGATAATTAATTATCAACTTTCTGAATTTTATTATAAGGACCGAGTCTGTCAGAAGAAAAATTAGTGCGTTTTAATTTGATTTCTGACAGTTAATTTACTATTTGCTTTCTCTCTCTCTCTCTCTCTTCTCTCGAAGAGACGTCTTCAGCACCTGGAAAACGCGAATAAACGCTAAGTTTTGCAGTAATAAAGATAGCATTCTCATTTTAACGGCTGATTTTTAGTTTAACTTTCGAATAACGCTGTAACAAGAGGACGTTTTTTTAAATCCGGTGCAGAACTTTTCATTCAATTAATATTATATTTTTTTATATTTTTTATACATTTGGTATTTTTTTACGTTTTGCGAGCGAGATAAAATAAAGTGTTTACATGTCACATGTGGCTGTTGAAACAGTTGGTCGCGAACAAAAGATATAAATATATGTATATATATATATATATATATATATAACTGTCGATAGAGAAAATCCATCAGCGTGATTAACCGGTTCCGCAATTATTTTGAAAAAAAACTGTTCTATATAGTGTCTAAACACACACCGAGTTTATTCCCATTTTGGCGGTGTATCAAGTGTATTGGCTGCTATGTACCATTTTTGTCTTTTTTTCTCTCCTCTCAAACAAATGCGGATAACGATTATTGCACTTTTTCTCGGGTATCCGGTTCACATTGTTGAATCAGAACTCCCGTGGCGAAAAAAGAGCGTACGCGACAGCGATCGATTTGACGTCGTTTACTTTCCCTTAACAGAAAGTTTTTTCGTTTCTCGTTGTTTGCCGTATATGTAGAACCCGGAGATTGTTTTCGCGTTCTGCGGACTCCTATCTAAATGGGAAAAAAAAACACACATTCTCTTTTGTTCTCTTAGATTTTTTTTTTTTTTTTTTGTCGACACATTCAAACGGAAGTCAGTGGATTTCGTCGACCACGTCCGCGATGCCGCACATGAATTGCGCGTGTATTATTAGTGTGCAAACACTAGTCACGGAGATATTTAAACGCGAATTTCGTTTTATTTATATAAAAATTTCGTAATATGCAAATTTATTATTTTTTATGCTCACTCTCACGCGGCGTGCGCGTACAACAACTCAACTACCGTAGGTAGTTTGAAATAAAATTTCAATCATCGGAATATCACAATTGCGTGTACGCTCGCAATTAATCGCGGTTAGCAAACACTGATCGTGACGATACGGTCAGCTTAATCATTATCATGCTCGAAGTGTGACAGAGAATGTTTATTATTTCAGCACCATCCTTGCTCGAAGAGGCATTCGGTGGAATCGTGAACATTCAACTACCTAAGAGAACGAGCGTAAGTAAATTTCTAATCAAACAAAAAAAAAAAAAAACTGTTTCGAAAGTAATCAGAAATAGTTAAACAATTTAAACAGGATTTATTTAATTAAATCGCGATTGAATAAAACTTAAATACCGATAGATGTTTCTATCTCTGTGAATAATTTAAAAATTTGTGCAATTATTTTATTCTTCTCCGAGAAACATTGATACTCTTCATCTTCTTTTATAATAATTTATTATTTTTCTTTTTGCAAGTTGAGATTCTCTTTTTTTTTGTTTTAATCAATAACGCTCCGAGCTCTGTTCTTTAGAAGAGGGTATCCGTTTCTCGAAAAATCCTCATATCCGCTTTGAGTCGAATGACAAAGCACCGCTGTGCCCGATAGGCGATCAAGTACAGCCAATGACAATGAGGTAGGCAATGAGAGTAACGTCGGCATTCGTCAGCGTGGAGATATCCTTCGGCAATAATATCAGCAGACCACAGACACAAAAGAAGGAGGGTAACGACAAAACTTGTCTTGGTTTTGTTAAAAGTGTTGTTACTGTCTCTCATATAGAAAAAGCTCAAAGGACTTGTTCTATCAATCTAGAGTCTCGGGGAAAAAAGAAACGGGAAGGGAAGGTATCAGGTTTAAACTTCTGGTTGTCTGCGGGTAGACACACACGTATCACGGGGGCTGAAAAGCTAAATCTCTCGCTGGTCGCACAGACTATTCGCTTGCAACAAAAAGCTCGACTTCGACAAAGATTGAAAACTTCTTGAAAAGAACGAAGGAATCTTAGCCTGCGAAAGTTAGCCCTAATTTTGAAATCTACTGCAAACGGCAAAGTAACTTCTCTCTCTCCCGTTTTAATCTTACGAAAAAAGGATATGATTGCTTGAATAAATGAAAGCAGTGCACAGTATATATAATAATAATAATAATAAATAATACACGCGTTTATATACATGCTAAAATATAATATTGTGTAAAAATATTTATTATATTATTTTATTATATTAGGTCTACCGGAAAGTTCTGTCCGTTTTTGGAATAAAACAAAATACAAATTTTTCTTAATTTTTCAAAAATGGGATATACAAATTGCCCTCACGCTGGCAAGAAATCATTAATATAATAATGGCAATTATATTATTTAATAAAGTTTATTGACGGTAAGAAAAATTTGTATTTTGTTTTATTCCAAAAACGGACAGAACTTTCTCCGATAGACCTAATATTATTATATAAAAATAAATTACTTATATTATTATAAGAAAATATATTATTATATTAAATAACAACACATATCAAACGCAAAATCATCGCGATGCATCTCTCTAATGGTTTTCCATTTGCGATCTTAAACTATCTCCGACCGTTCTATGCGCTCTTCGAATATTTTCATGATCATAATACTCGCGGTGAGCGCTAGGTATGTGTACACTTAGACGATAGCTCGCAAGTATAACGAGTTTAGCAGTGAGAAATTTATTTTAAGCTTCGCTTAACTAGAGAGAGTAGCGCGTAGACGGCTCTCCGTATGGTTTTCTACTGCATAGTTGCGCACAGTTTCCTACCGAATAAGTTCTCTTGGCCGCGTTTAAATGAACATCGGTTCAGGGAGAGAAAAGACCCTTCTGCGCGACACAATACAGAGTACTGTAATCATATTGCGAGTGCGCACGCGCGCGAGCGCGCGATCTAATCGGCCATACGGAAAACAAAGTTGTAACGTGCGGAACGTGTGAGTTCTACAGATTAGTCTTCCTGCCCTCGGCACGCGGAAGTGGAAACGACTTCGTCGATGCTCTGATAGTTTCGTGTGACCCGAAGTTAATAACCCCGTGGTGCGAGAAACTTTAGCGGACAATGTTCGCCCACAGCCGCAGATTTATAAGATTCGGTCTTATTTGAAAAGTTTATGCAATTTCACGCGCGTCCCGGCGCACGGCTTGTAAATATTCGGCCGAACTTCGAACTTTTCAAATAATGCAGAGCATTATCTGCGAACGATACATACCCCACTACCGTAATGTTGAGATTAGATAACTATCGGAAGAAACATGTAATGCGATACACACATTATCAGAATTATCAGAAATTAATTGGCGGTGGGTTTAATTTTTTTTCTTTATTAAAATAATGTTGGAATAGTTACTGGTTAAATATACGCAATCATTACGCACACAGAGCGTATATGTAATCGATTATTTAAAATATTTTACCGTTCTACTGAAATAAAAAAAAAAAAGAAAAAATATCAAATATTTTTGCGCTACAGTATATCGAAATTCGATTGCATCGTATAATTGTTACAACGCACGCGCGTCGATTATATTAAATAAACATATTTTCTTTTCAAAGAGATATCTCGAGTTTTTTTCATTTTTTCATGTTTTTTTAGGTTACAAGTTTTGCACAATTTTTTCTGCTTAGTTTTCCAGATATTCTTGCATGCGCGTGCAGATATTATTATGCATAGTTTAAGTAATCGTATCGAATATACGATATATATATATATATATATATGATAACATTGAAGCTGAACGCACTTCATTATGTCGTGCGCGCAATTAGATAAAAGAATAACATATTGTTGTGCATTCTGAGATGGCGACGAAGACACGAGAGCGATGAACTTGAATGCGCGATCTTCAATCTTGTTTGTCATATAAATACCGAGACCCCTACAAAAAAATAGACTACTCATCATATTTTATCGTGTTGATTTTTGCGCGAGCCATTTTATATTTCCCTTTTCGTCGTCCGTTCCGTCTTTAAACCGTCAAACGTTTTTATTTCGAAAAATTTTACTTTTGAATAAAAATCTTCCGTGTATACCCCCTTTTATAGTCGGTATGCTCAAAGTTAAGCTTACGCTTTGAGAGAAAAGAATTCCGCCGAGAGATATTTGACAAAGAGAAGTGAAGCCGGTTTTAGAAAAGAATTTTTTTAACAATCTTCTTAACGACCGCAAGAGAGGAAAGAGATCAACGGAGATTACTTTGAGAGAGGGAGACAGGTTTCGCGCGCTACTTTTGGTACAGCAATCTTTAATTCATTCAATCTCGGTTGAACACATCTCGTGCACTTTGCAAAAAAAAAAAAGAGGGCGGTGGGGGGGGGGACAAAGTTTCCGTACCGAAAAGGAGAAAAAAAACTTGAAACTTGCATTTTCTCTGTCTCGCGCATCGGGCGCGTTCGTACGATAACGTCCCGAGCAAATATAGTTCCCGATTATGTGCAACAGATAGGAATTCCACGCTGTATACGTGTGCAGATAACCAAATCTTCTTAAAGATGCGGAATCCGGTTACACAAAAATGCGTCATCGAGCTGCCCCGTGAATGCGGCAGCTGCATATCGACTTAGCATTTGTGTATAAATATACTCGAATCTGCGAGAGATACTACACGTTATATCAGCTCGATACTTTTACATACAGAAGTTTGCTCTGTTATAAAAAAAAAAAAAAAAAAAAAAGTAATATATATACATATATTATTTGTACACGCGATCGTTGCGCTTCAAATAGCGTGACCTATCTTTACCTCAAAATCACAGAGTTACAAGAAACTGGTTGAAAAGTTTCCTGAAATTTTTATGTCATAAAAAAGTTCTGCATAAGGAAAATTAAATTACTTATTTAATAGCCACACTCTTATATATATATATATATATATTTTTTTAATATATATATAAGTACTTTTCTTTTTACGGAAATAGACACGCGATTATATTTTCCACGTTTTACGGATACGTGTGTATAATCGCAGTATATATTGTATTAGCAGTTAAAATTATCCTCTCGCGCGCGCGAATGATAACACACTCATATGGCCGACCGATATTTCCAACAACGGCGGCGCCAAGAGAGATAAAACCGCCGAATACAACCATTAATTCGCTCGCAATTCCTAGCTCCCCGGCGGTCGATGATGGAAACGGGCTAACGACTCCATCCTTATTCTCTGCTAATTAACTATTAACGACTTATCGGGAAAAAGTGACCTCGGTCGAGAGTTCACGCGCTCCATCCGCCGACGGAGCCCCGCGTTTATAATTAGAAAGTCGATTACCATGGTGCCCTCGACGTTGCACGGTGACCCCGGCGTAATGAAAACAGTATCCTTCGATAATTCATGGAAAACACCCGCGCACTTTTCTCCGGAATTGAGCCAGCAGTACGATTAACTAAACTCGTTTGCTTCTTACGTGAGATAGTTGTGTTCCTCTACAACAAAATTAACTGTTTCCATTTGAAGATCGTATCGTGTGTGTTACGTTTTATGTGTTTTATACATTGTATGTGTTATACAGCGAAATTCCGCGAATTTATCAACATAATAATTTTTTTTTTTCTAAGTGCCTCGGTGACCGAATTGGGAAGGCGGTTTTTTCGCAATATTTTAAACTTGATTAGAGGGGAAAACGGGGATGTACGTCATGTACGTGAGATGCAAGTACAGCATCTTGTGTGAATTTAGAAATTGAAATTAATGATGCACGAAGAGGGCATTGGGAACCAATTACGGGATGAAATGTAAAAAACAACGGTGTCAATACGTGATTCTTATGAACCACAAACAATATTTTTCTATTATTTTATTAACGGACTGTTTCATTATTAAGGTGTGTGTCTCCGATAATTCACAATTTGTTTATATACCGTATTTATATATTTTTCATTGTTTTTATCATTCTTAACAAAAATTGTTTGATATTTTGTAATTGCCAATTGTATCATGTAATTGTAGATTCCACTGATGATGACTTTAAATATATAGTTTCGAAACGTTTGGAATATTGATATTTACGTATCACCGTTTTTTTTACATTTCATCCCGTAATTGGTTCCCATTGCCCTCTTCGTGCGTCATTAATTTTTGAATCCGGAACCGGAAGATCCTAAAGTCATCCTCAATATCGTTTTTTCATTAGAAATTGAAATTTCGTTTCAAATTTACGTGTAAAAATTCATTTGACACGAATGTTTATTCTCATTTGTTGATCGACACTTGATATTTTTGAGCGAACAAATTTGTACACAATTTTTCACAAAAAGGGAGGGGAGAGGGAGGTGCATCGTTTGAAATATACACAGATCTCTATTTTCGTTATTGAACATAACAAACTAAATTCTCGTTATCTGTGGAAATCCACGATTATCTTGAAGCGAGAAGAAGCGAATAGAGAGTCCACATTCACACCGGTGGTTAAGTGCAAACTTCGTCGCAAGATGTGCAGATATGTAGGCTTGCTGCATTAAGCGCGCTTAAGTAATAACGAGGAAACCGCGAGCTTGAAGATTCACAGTTAGTTAGACAATGTTCCGTAACTTTTAAGTCAAGCCGGAGGTCACGGTAATAACTTCCAACCCCACTTTATGGCAACGCGATTACATCAAAAACGAAATTCTCTTTTTCGCCTCACGGCTATTTGTATCACGACCGAGTAATTTAACAAAAAGTTGTGCTCTCGCTCTATTTCGTTATTACGTTTAAGCGCTTCCAACTACGGGGAGAGACTGAATCTCCGGGAAGTTTCAATGGAGCGGCGCTGTACACGACGAAGCGTTTTTCTCGTCCAAGTCTCGGCCCACGCTCAAAGCCCCTTGCGCTTCGAGTGTTATCCCGAAGTACATATAACACGTATAAATCCGCCCGTCTTAACTTCTTTGATATTCCCCTGAAGACGGGGGCCCGGGCGTGGCGTCGCCGTCGTTCAATAATCCTTGTTTCCGTCGGAGAAAAAGTTGAGACAAGGGGAACAAGATTGCACCGCGCACTATTTAAATCGCACACAGCGCTTTCCGCTTCGGGAGAAACGCGATGTTCTCCCGAAAATTCACTACACGCGACATCGAATAATTTTTGCCACTTAAACGACCGTCTTTTTTATACGATTATAAAAACTAAAAAGAAAAAAAAAGAAAAAAAAGACAAAGTTCGAAATGCGCGAAAGTTTTTCGATTTCCTTATAACTCAAAACCGTTCTATACATTATTTATGTATCGCCGCTCTCCCGTATAGCATAAAGTTGCAGCGTAACGTAACGATTGCCTTCGAGAGTCATTTATAAGCATCGCGATATCCGCCTCTACCCTACTCGTCGTCGTACCGATCGTTACATCCGCCAATCATCGGTCGCTCGTGTGTCTCGCAAAACCTTATTTTATGCGCGAAAATATAGGACGGCCGAGCAGATCCGACGGGGATAACCATCGCCTCCGGTGTGTTGGCTCGCATGATTGATGAAATTTGTGTAGGAGCAACAGGGCATACTTGCCGTTTCCCTACGGGAACGGAACGCTTGATTGATAGAGGGTGTTCGAATTTGAAATTCCGCCTCGCGGAAAGTCGACCAGCTCTTTCTGCATTCGACGTTTTTTTTCTCTCTCTCTCTTTCTCTCTCTCTCTCACACACACTCTCTCTCTTTCTCTCTCCGTATACTGCGTGGCACGCGAACGTGCTGAACACGCAGAGACTCACACACGCTCACACACCCGTTCGTGTCGAGCAACTTCCGTGTTTCCGCGTCCCTACGACAAGACGGGTAGGAGGTTCCTTCCGGCACGATACACGCGCCGCCAAAGGACACTCGACTCGCTTCGTCCATCGTTCATCCCGAGCTAAAAGCCTCTCCCGGTACGATATACAAGCTCTTCACTTTCTCTGTGTTCGCCGTTCTTGTTGCTCTGTTATTTACAAGTCAAATGCGCGATCGATCGATGTGCCCGACCGCTGGGATCGAAAAGGTAAGGACCGCGTTTGCTGTGAAGCCGCATCGAGAAATGCAATAGCGAAAAGAGGAGAAGTTACGACGGAAGGAGGCACGGAATCGAAAGCTCGTCCTAGCGCATGATATAGCACACAAATATCATCTTTTAGTCACCATTTCGCGTGTGTAATATTCACTCCCTCTCGCAGAAACGGTCTTTTTCCGTGAGATAGAAACCTCGCTTGGGTAAAGGGAGAAGAACGTTTCGCATATCATAAACGACATATATATTCGGGAAGTAGCATGTTACTTGGGGGAGGGTTCAAAGAGGAGTGTTGTTTTTGTTATCTTGAAACGCGGCGCGCGAGCAAAGGAAAGGCTAAAACGAATATGTATGCGAAAGTTTAAAGGATGGTACACATTCGGTACATATTTATCCTGACCACGAGCGGAAAGCGGGGACCGATCGGAGGTATCTCAGAAGGAACTGCTCTCGCGAACCGCACGACGATAAAGTCACCGGGAATACAAGCGAGTGCACCGAGAGAACCGCGGTCGCCCCTTTGTGGACAGAGACTTCAAAAAGTTTCGCCGCGTCGGGAAGTAAGACCCGGTCGCGCGGAGCATATATATACGCGAAAAGTTGGCGGAAATCTACAACGGGGGATGCGCGACGGTGGTTGTGTTCCCGACGGGGGAGTCGTCGGAGTTCCGCGCGCGACCTTCGGCAAATTTCTCTTGGCTCGCGCCCGCCGTTAATCCGTCGTTGATGCGCCCGTTTACTTTGTGCTCTTCGAAAACGGGCGCGTTACGCGATTTCAATTAAGTAACGTCGTACGACTTGCGGGACGAGACGACCCTCTCCTCGTGACGACTCTCCAGCGAAATTGAATCATGTTTAATTTATAATCCTTCGGTCTTTCGCGAGAGCGTTTTAATTTCGCTCGACTAAATATACAGTCGGAGAGAGAGAGCCTAGTAATACGGAATCTATTATAAAACGCATACAATTCGTGTCGCGGAACGACATGAATGGAATAACTGAAGTGAACGCGCGCGTATGCGCTTAGATTTTATTTAATCGGTAAATAATTTCTTGATTATATTTCCCGACCTTCTTTCCGGCCGGAAGATTTATTTTTCTTTCAATGTGTGTTAACAGAGAGCGGACTTAGGCCCCGCGGACACGGCCCCTCCTCCTCTTATATTTTCCGACCCGATCTGCGAGAGACCAAAGACGCGAATTGCGCTCGCCGCACCGGTTTGTCAGCGAAAAGTAAATTTGATGCGTAATCTCGAACTTTCCACGGAGAAGCTTAGGCGATAATAAAAGAGTCGAAGCGCGCGCTTTGGCGGTGGTCGTTGTGTTGTATTAATTTAACTTGGGCGACACCGCCGTTGGAGTGTACAGATGTTGTAACAGTATTAAGCTAAACTGCCAACAGTCCGGGGAGGAGGAGGGGGTGTCCCGGCGTGCTCCGAGATTAGTGGGGTTAACTTAACAAAAACTGAGAAAAGCAAGCTCGCGCGCGAAGCGAGCGAGCGCAAGAAAAGAAAAGCAAAGGCGGGGTCGGGAGGGAACAAAGAAAATCTCCCGGAAGTCTCTGATGTCACCAAAACTGCTTCGAACGCGCGGACTTTTCTGATAATACGGAAGTAGTTCGAGTTCTGGTTCTGTTTCGTGCGAACAGGCCGTGTAATCATTTTTACACAACCGTACGCTGTTGTGTGCAAGAAACAATATATATATATATATTTAACACCGAATAAAAATGTCGCGCGTGCGAACGCGGTGCATTTAACACTAAACGCGTATATTAATCGAGTACATCGAATGTATGTAAATTCAAAGTGTAAAGTTTGAAAGCTGTGAGCACGCGGAGATATATATATATATATATATATATATATACATTCTATGTAATTTCATAACTTCACTGATGGTACATACACATATTGTTTATAGAAAAAATATATAACATTTATAATAACATTTATCACAAAATCGTTGTGCAACAAGATAATTTGCCAGCAACGGAGAATTATTTCAACGCATTTCAACCAAAAGTGTCAAATAACGCTCTAGATATTTGTTTGTCATACAAATTATTCAAAATTATTAAGCGTGCGTATTATTCGATAATAATTAATTCCAGTTAGGTATACGTGATACGATCACTCCGATCGCGTAATTAAACAATGATCTACGTCTGTCTATTAATAATAACGAGCGCGCGGTGAAACTACAAACCTATGGTTCAATAAATATTAAGTCAGTCACATCTGGTGAATGTACTAGTTGTTGCTAAAAAGCTCTCTCGGAATACATATATATATACGTATCTATTCCGAAAGACGAAACGCCAACGCACATGCTTTCGTGCGATGCGACCTCGTCCTAAGCTAAGTAAGTTCTGCGGTCGCGGTTCCGCAGTCACGTTCTCTAACGTCATCGTGCACGTTTCTGCTGTTAACAGGATTCTTCGAGAGATGGGTCCGGAAACGGCAAGCCGGTGGCTGCTCTGCGCGACGCTTATGGTCGCCCTGTGTCAAGGCCAGGAGGACTGGATGCAGTGCCCGTCGGTTTGCAAGTGCAAATGGGTGTCCGGCAAGAAGACCGCCGATTGCGTCAAGCAGAATCTGAAAGAAGTGCCGAGAGATATCTCGCCTCAGATACAAAATCTTGATATGACCGGCAACAACATCATCCATCTTACGCATAACGAGTTTATGCACGCAAGGCTAGATAATTTGCACAAAGTGGTGCTGCGCGACTGCAAACTGGAAACCATTCACACGGCCGCTTTCAACGGTCTGAAGATCGTTATCGAGATCGATCTGTCGAGCAATAACATTCACAGTTTGCAACCGGGCACCTTTTCAGAAACGCAACGGTTGCGGGTGGTGTTGCTCAATCAGAATCGATTGAAGGTGCTGGAAGATAATCTGTTTGTCAATCTCGTTTTTCTGCAGAAGGTGCTGCTGTCGGACAACAGATTGGAGTATATTGGAGAGAAAACTTTTCAAAATCTCCCGGCTTTGCAATCTCTCACATTGAGCGGGAATAATTTCAGCACCTTGCAACTTCAGAGCTTCGAGAGTTTGCCCAAGATCAGCAGCCTCGAGCTCCAAAATAATCCGTGGAATTGCGACTGCGAGCTGAAGAATTTTCGCGACTGGTCGATCAAACGCAAATTGTACACAAAGCCGACCACTTGTCAGGAACCGCCCGCCATGGCCGGCAAGATGTGGGATGAGGTTAGCAGTGACGAGTTCGCGTGTCGGCCGAAGATTATCTTCATCGGTCCGGCGACCAAAATCGAGATGGGCAAAGGAGACGTGACTCTCTCGTGCAAGGCGTCGGGTGTCCCACAACCTCAGGTAATTGCACTTCCGTACACGGGTACACGTGCGTCCGGAAATTGCTCTCGAGAACGTCAGATTAATCGTAGATCGTAATTTCAAACTTTTCGATAAAAAAAAAAAGAAAAAAAGAAATCCAGACTTCTGTGATTACTTCTGCAATAATTAGATTCTTATCACTTCAATCCAAAAATTCTTCTGTAAAATAATATATTTTTTGTCTTTCTCTCTTTTCTTTTTTATGAGATATTACACGCATAAAATCATATATCATACATGCGCGCGATCTCGTGTTTCAGTTGACGTGGGTGCATCGTAAAAGCGTGTTGAAGAAGGATAGCAAACGTCAGAACAGCGATAGAAACTACATATTCACCTCAAGCCCGGAATCGGACTGGCTGAATCTCACAATTGTCGATGTAATCCCGTCCGACAAAGGAGATTATATGTGTTCTGCCAAAAGCCCGGGCGGCATCACCGAGAAGAACGTGACCCTGATCATTTTGGGCGACGTAGGCAGGAATACCGTCATGAGCCTGCCGCTTATGATTGGACTCGTCGTTACCGCGTTGTGTCTGTTCATAGTCGCGGTTGCGCTCTGCTTGTGCTACTGTCGGCGTCATCGAACCAGGCACGACGAGAAGGGCCTCGAGGCGGTGTCTCTGGAGCATCACGGTCTTGGCGAACAGGAGAAATCGCTCATCACTACCATTAATCCGGTTGTGAAGCCGCCAAGACGTTACGAGGCGCCGTCGGTTACGTCGCACGGCACGGAGATGACGGAACTGAACCGCACGCTGTTAGACAACGATTCGGTTTTCGGTCAGTACACAGTCTACATTTCTAAACAGTGCGCGGCCAAATGCTAGCGAGAAACAACCTCGTGTTAAATCCTAGACGAGAGTACGATTATATCTCGTAATGCGCGCGGATATTGTGGATATTTAAGTCAGAGAGATAGGATTTAACCTGGCGAACGTGATCGCTGCGAATGGACCACGTAGCGTCGGTCGTTTCGTCGGGATAATATTTCCTCCCGCTGGGCCGAAATGACCGCTATACAGTTTGTTTACGTAAATGTACAAATGACATGTGTGTGTCTGTTGTGTGTGTAATCGCGAATCGAATTCGTTTCGTGCCGAGCGCGAAATCCGTACGACAGTTGAATCCAGTTGATCCATCGATCTTGGGATAAGGAGAAACCGCCAAGTGGTAGCTCGGTAGAGACTAATGAAGAGATCCGTTAGGGACGCTTATGATACAGTGGCTCCTCCTATATTGATATAACAGCGCGCTGTCACAGCGCGAAAAAAACATTCGTCATCTGTGTTCGATTATTGATAACGTCACATCTCGCTTTTTCTATAGAAATAAAAACAATAATATTATTCTCCGTAGATAATAACAGAACGCTTGTTTTGTTTTTTTTTCTTTTTTTTTTTTAATTTCGAAACAAACGCGCAAACGTTAAATTATGAGAAGTGTAAATTGCTGTAATATACAATCGCACAAGTAATGACGACAATAAGGTTCGCACCAAAATTTATCTCGCAAACACACGTGCGAGGGAATGAGATATTTTTCGAGATAAATTATATAAATGATAGATATTATCGGTTTATTAAAATATATCAAAACCCCCCCGAGGTGTCAAATATAATGAAATTATCCTCCGAAGCGCAATATGAAAGTTGTAGCTCCGCACGATAATGCGATTTAAATCTTATGAAAAAGTTTAATCAACTTTATGGATGTCATATGAACCTCAAAGCGAGCACGATGTAGCTTCCACCACGTTACGCTTGACCGACGGCGTGCAGGAAACGTAGTTACAATTTTTTTGAGTAAATTGACAAAGCGCGCGCTCCCGGAGGTTGCGATCATATCATGACTTAATCCGATTAAGAGCACTCGTCCAGGTTCGTTGAGAATAATGTCACACCAATATCGTGTCACGATTATATCAAGGCAACGTTACTCCCGCTCGAATAGAGCTGCCTTGCCGCGCGTGTGCGCGCTTTACGTGCGGCGTCTTCGCGTGTAGAACCTTTCCGCGCGCGCGCGCAATCTTTTTTTTTCCCCCTTCCCCCTTCTCCGCCCTCTGCTTTTCTTTTTCTCGCAACCTTTCTCTCTCTCTTAAATTTTCGTTTTTAACGTTCGTCCTTTTCTTTTGTTCATGTTCTCGCAGCTGACGGTGTCGGGAGCGGCGTCGTCGGCGGGGTAAGCGGCGGCGTAGGCGACGACGACAGGGATCACGAACGAGCCACGCCGGAACTCGACAGGAGCGGCGGCGGCGGTGGCGGTGGTAGTGGTACTCTACCGCGTGGCGGAAATGCCGGTTACCATCACCGGCAATATCCGCCGGATCTGTTGGCCTTCTCCGGCGGTCGCGGCGCATCGCCGACCAGCCAGGCGTCTACGTTGCCCGACAACACGCGTATACCAAACCAGCAGGCGATGACACCAGCGGCAACAACAACGGCGGCGGCAGCGTCATCGTACGGTTCGCCGCCGCCTGGCCAGTACCATCCGGCTGCTTTCAAGACGCTACCGCACAGTCGCAGCGTGACGCCTTTTGGTATGGGACCGTCGTCGTCACCGTTGGCGCCGGTGTTACCGCGTCACGGTTACGTGACAATTCCGCGACGACCTCGAGCGCCCAGTTGGAGCAGCGGTCCACCGACGTCGCCCACTGAAATTCTCGATCCGGTTTACGACAATCTGGGTCTTCGCACCACGGCGGATGGCAGTTCGAAGCTCTCGTTGAACAAGACCTTGGAATCGGTGTCCTCATCCATGCGTGGTCGACCGCTCCCGAGCACGCCAGGAGCCTCGCATTACGGCACCATTCAACGTAGCACGCCGAATATTCTGGCCGGCAGTCCGCTGGATCGAGCCGCGCCAGAAGGCGCGGCCGAGTGGCCGATCAAACTGTCGGACGAGAGCGCGGAGGGTGATTATCCGTTGTTGGCGCAGCAGTCTCAGCAACAAGCCGCTGCCAGCAATACTCTTAACAGAAAGGTACCGCCAAGGCCGCCGCCGAAACCCAAGAAGAAATCAGCCAACGGACCGACGTTGTATGAGGACGAGGGTGAGGACGGCACGGAAGTATGATACCACGGACATCGTCCGCCGCGATGAGGACGACTGATCGTAGTACACCACGACGGGGTGCACACGACCACACACACAATAAACCGGTAGTGCCTTTCGAGACGCTCGTCTCACGCGCGTGGAATTTTTATTCTGCCCGGTGAGTCGCGATCGTCCGGAGAATAAAAAATTATAGCGCGCGGAGAAATTTCACAGAAGAGACATCCTCTCCCTCTCTTCGCGACAAGACGAACAAACAATGTACGCACGGCTCGCCGAAATACAACTGAGAAGGCGATCGGACAATCGCATCATCTATTCCCTTTTCGTATCTTTTGTTTGTTTTTTTTTTTTTTTTTTTTTTAAGTTATTTATTGAACCCTCTTGTACCTAGAGACGTTCGGAAATCCTAATGGAATCGTAATTCGCATGAAATATCTTCTAGACAGTCTAACTGCTATCGGACGTAATTTTTTTTTTTTTTTTTTTTTTCTGTCCTTTGTCTCTCTCCTACGTATCTCATTCTCCTTTTTTTTTTTGGTTTTTTGTTTGTTTGTTTTTTTCTTTTTAGGAGGAAGGGTTCCTTTAGCGTTTTTATTTTGACGCTCGCCACGCGCGGTGAGGCGATAACGTGATAAATGTGTGAATAAGGTTACGGACATTGTTGCCGTTTTAGTCGATAAGGCGAAACCTGTTTGCGTTTAGAGTGTGGAATTCACGCGACGAAATACAAAGCAACTTGCAAGTGCTGAACGCAGATCCGTTCCGTTCGGAGAGTCGACGTCAGTGAATTCGACCGCTGCTCGCTCGTGTATCGGCGATGGAAACTTGCAATCGTCACGATACCAACTCACGTGTTATAAACGTGAAAGTTGTTGCAGAGCTCAGAATGAACAACGTTTTTTTTTTTTTTTTGCACATACGTGTTACATTTATGCGAGAAGAAAAACGTAACGAGAGAATTTAACACTGTTAAGAATCTATATATATAGCTGTTACTCGTCATTCCCCTTTGTCGCGTTTTTTTTTTTCTTTTTTAATGTGAAGAGAGTTTCGAGATGCCCGTAATAATGAGAATTGTAGCAAAACTCGTTGCATCCGCACACACGCGACACGAACTCTCGTGATTGCGTCGAATGATGTAAAAACAACACGTGTGTCCTTTCTTCTTTTGTAAGAACAAAAGTTAGACCAAGTCTAAAAAAAAAAACTTAGAAAATATATTTCGTGCTTCGTTACCGATACTTGTCCATGTTTCAAAATGGCTAAAAAACATTATTTCCGATGACTCCAATAGCGGAAGTGATTTTTGACGAAAAGAATTATGCCGCCGATAAATATCGTACGCACTATAATGTGGTACGAAATATGATACGCAACAACACGGTGCCACCTTGTATTTACGTTAAACGGATATATCTATCACAGGCGTGTAATAAATTTAAAAAGTAGATACATAAGTATTGAAATTTCAAATACGTGTTTGAATACGTAAGAAGAAATATATTATACAAAGATACGATATAAGATGGTGTGTGTACAGCCAAGAAATCAATGTAAGCAACGCGTTCGCGCGTTTATTTTCGCCGTTGTGGCGTATGAAAATATCGTGACCTTTTTTGAAATTCGTAATAATCGATTACCGTCTGAAATGACTGAGCGGTCGGAATAACAAACGTATTTTGGAAACGCGGCCAATTTGGCAACGCTACCCAATTGGATTCTACTACCACCACCACCACCATGCTTGCGTGGATAACACCAAAAATGACCGGTTTAACGTATATATTACTACTCCCCTATCGACCCAAATTTACTTCGGGAAATTAATTGAACGTTACGCGCGATGCGTTCCAATTAAGCAACAATTACGAGTTCGATTGTTATCAATTCCAGAATCGCGCGTAATATCCGGGAAAAGTGCGCGAAAAATTATCGACCCGCCCCCCCGCAATTGAGCCGAGGCGGTGCGCGTCGCGAGCCGCGAGGAGTCGTCGAGCGTAATCGCAGGATTGTTCGCGGCGCGACGAACGTTACGCAGATGAATGTTGTAGATGGACATGATTTAAAAAGATGGCGATATTACGACGTGTCATAAAGCGTTCGTGAGAAACGAGAAACACGTTGAATTCTTCCTCGTGTTCCCGTTTTCGCGTATACGTTTCGATCGCGACAATTTTACCATCGGCTACAATATATCGTAAAGTAGAGAGAACGTCCATGCGAGCTATACATCATCGGCGAACGAACGTCGGACTTATGGTCCCGAATACCTGATGGCCGATAAATCGTCTCTTCTTGAAACTAGAAAAACATGTGACTTGTTGAAACGATCGTCGCGCACACGCACATACACGTACACCTATCCAGGCCGTATTTTTCTTTCGTTCGAAGTTAATGCCCGTCGTTTCGATGGGAAACTTATTCGAGCAGGTTGTTTTCTTTATCGTTTTTTTATTCATTGCAACGCGATTTTCGTAGCGATATCAGCGCGCGCGTCACAACTTTCTGTCGTCCTTCTACCGCGCAATAATGCTTCCATTATTATCCTTCGCGCTGGTTAATTCTGTCGATCTGCCGTTTTCCGCGCGAAGCATCAAGTCGCAATATATCGTGATAAAGAGGCGGCTCACGTGCTCGCGCACCAGCACGAAAGGGTTTCGCCGCTTTGGCCGTAGGTGATATTTTACCCAAGGGAGTAGGAGGGAGGGGGAGGGGATGTAGGTAGAAAACATTCTTTAACTGCGAATTTATCGCCCGAGTGGCCGAGCCAGCCGCTCTTTATGTTTTTGTTACCTTTTTAGCCGCGAGATTAACGTTCTATTTCTCTGGCTTTAGCAGGGATTTCGGACGCGATTGTGTGTACAACTTGTTGCGATTGCGCGAACAACGTCAGTTTCTCCCGCCGCAGCAAAGTATACCTCGCGAACAACAGGAACCCGAGGAAAACGTATTTTCGACGAATCCCCCCCCCCCCCAAACTTGACTTACCGAGAGAGCGATACTTGAGAATCCAACGAGCGCTCTTTCTCTCTCTCTCTCGATTTTTCCAGATCAATTAAATTACCTTCAAAAATAAAGTTTACTCCGACTTGAATGTGAAAAATTAAACTTTCAGCATCCAACTTTTTTTTATCATCTTTCTCTCTTGAGATTTCATCGGACGAAATCCCTCATTTAGTAGTTACATAAATGCCTCTTCTTTCTCTTTTGACGCTTTAATTTCCCAGAGTAAATTTTTCTTCAATCTCTTCCTTAATCGCTCAGTTTTGTTTCTTTTCCTCTTTACGCAACTCTATATATATATATATATATTAATATGAATATATTTATATATATTCATATATATATATATAAATTTTTCTCGATATGTTTTTCTTTTCGACATTTTGCATTTTCCTGATCCGAGATTCACAAACGCGTAAAGTGTGACGGTCGCTATCGAAGCAACGGTACAAGTTTTATCATGTTCGGTTACGCCGAACAGTATTAAAAAAAAAAATCCGTTATGATGATGATGATGATGATGATGATGATGATGATGATGATGTTTGTGCGCGCGAGAAGCTGCCCGAGTGAGACGTGTGGCGTGGAGAAAATAGCGACGCGCGGTCGTGTCGGTCCGATTTTTCACCGCGATCGACGAGCACAACGAACGATAACTTATAGCGACGTGTTACGGTCGCGGAAGGAAAGGATGTTCGGCCGAGATTCGTCGCGACAGCCTGTGAGCAACGCCGCTTCCGACTTCTCGTAGACTTAGTGCCAATCGACGGCGATTTATATCTTATGCCATTTTTCTTCCCGGAAGTCGTCGAATTATAATATTACGCGTTATAAATATAATTATTCTCTTTCGTCTCTCGCATAATCGTGATCAGCACCGACAACCTGTGAATGTGTGGATTGTGAGATATCGAACCGACACGACTGGTAAACGTCGTCGGAACACAGTATTTTAAAAGCGGCCTAGGCAAAGTCGCGGCTCGCCCCCCTTCGCACACCTTCGTGTCGTGCTTATATGTACATACACTCACTTTCCCTCCTCCCTTCTCTGAACTGTACTACTACTCCCTTGTATTCACTGTACACTGTTCATATTGTAAATGCCAACACACGCGATGGAAAGCACGGCACGTTCGGTTTGTCACGGGCGCCACGAGTATATTTTTGTAATTTTGTATTTTGACTTGACCACCCTCTCTCTCTCTCTCTCTCTCCGTGCGCACGGCGTCTCACTCGGTTCGGATCAACAAGGGGGAAAACCGGTCCTAGGCTGTCGATACCATCATGTAACGCACGCGATCGACCCTACGGATGCCGTTCGGCGGGGATTCATCCGACTACGTTCCATTTAACACTGTGGGAAAGTGCTGCGCGCGTCCGACTACTAGTAGTACGTTACGAACGTACATCATACTTGCGGCATTTGGGATAATTTATTGATTGTCGCTAAATGTATTGTCCTGAATTGTGCGGGGACCGTCTCACTTATAGCGTTCCGAACGTTCGACGCTTCCGAATCGATTTGAAACCGGTTAACACTTATATATGTGCATTCTGTATAATTCAAATGTCGGTTATACATTTTAGCTCTCACGCGAAACCTCAATTTTAACAAGAAACTCATTAATCTCTAATGACGAAATAACCAAGTCTCGAGCTCTTCGAGTTTTATCCGAGCGAACGATGAATTCGAATAAAAACCTGCAAATATTACTAGATCTATTTCATCACTTTTTTTTTTTTTTTTTTTTTTTTTTTGAGAATGTTTATTTGAAAATTAGAAATTATGAAATTATTGCATTTGAAAGTTATGTGAATTATGTTCCTACAATATTTTTTATTCGATGAGAACGGACCATGTTGCTAGAATAATAAAGACCGATAACTGGGAGCAAAAAAATAAAATCGCACGACTTCGCACAAAATGTAAACGCTTCAACTCGGAAGATCGTTTAACACTTTTGTGACAATGTGTGTGAGAGATGTATCGCGAATTTCTCAGCACTTAATTAACTCTCCTTCAACTGCCGCGAAATATTTCAAATATCGCGCACACATTTCTCGCTTCCAATAATCTTCGATTTCGTACGTGCTCGTGAAGTGTAACGGTAATTTACATTAAAATAGGATAATTTACGACTGACACAAGCAAGCTCATTTAGGCTGCTCCCATTTGTACGCGTTGCGTACAGATGGAGATTCAGTTCGATATCTGCCGGAATTAATAATAATGTTATTTTGATGTATTCGTGTAAAATGTATCGCTAAATATTGCATTTATGTACTTTTAAATATTGCATTTATGTACTTTTTAAATATTTAGTAATAGTTATTGAAATTATTAAACTCTTCCACGAATTTCAATTAGTTATATAATTTTAATAACGTCATTAAAGCGTTAAATATTCTTCTTCTGAGAGCAAAATTAAAGTATCAGAATGACGTACGTCTTATATTTAATTTTGACAAACAATTTATGTCAGAGCGCTTATTTCCAATATTTTATATAAAAATTTTATATTTTATATACGTTTGCAGAGACAAAGAAATGATGTGTTGTGATTTAACAATGCGATGCTTTTATTATTTCTGCCAATGAGTGGTCAATCGAGGGTACCGTCCAATAGATCGGTCCAACACACAATTTTCTACGTAGCTATTTGTGTGCTTCTACGTATACTTAACACTTTTTTATAAAATGCGTACATCTTATATAGAGACAGTTCAGTGAAAAAAAAAACAAAAAAAAAAAACGTTTACAGGTCTAATATAGTAATCATGCCGAAAATAGCAATTATTATATTGAACATTCCGCGGAATAATTTTGTACTCGATATTTGTAGTATATGCGATACGATTGAAACTAACTGCCCAGTTTTTGTTCTTCAAAAACTCAAGATACATACCTATTAAATATTCTTCTTAAAAAATGTGACTTAAAGAATAGTTTGCCAGACAATATATATGTATATGCGTACATTCCTAACTATAAAGAAATGTTAAAGACACGATGTTTTTTGTTCGCTTCCACGACTTCTTTAGAGACTATTTTTCTGCAAACGAATTTATATTGACGTTACTTTTCGTAGCCACATTTGTTTAATAAATAATCTAACGGATCAATATTACTTATATAATAAAACTTACGTATAAATGTGAACGCGATTACTATCAATGAACATCGATTTAGCGAATAAACTAATGAACCGAGTTTATTTGTCTGTATAACGACTCGTTACGAAACAATCATTATCTACTTAGTTGCGTGAAGTAAGTTCCTTACATTGCGCACGAATCGTCGTCTCAAAACTGCCTAATTACCATAACCGAGGCTCCCCGTTGCTCTCTACAACCAGTTTGAATTATAATAAACGTCAGAAGCGAGAAAATATGTAACGAAAATTAATGCGAATTGAAAACAAGAAAGAGTATTTTCGCGCACAAAATCACTTTTAATCAATAAAGCACACTTGTGTATGTAAAAATATATACGACGAATGGTTGTGGCGAGTAACGAGGAATCTTAAATGGCGCAACATCTCGATGAAAAACAAATGTAATAATGTTCATGAATAAAATGAGCCGCGCACACTAAAAAAAAAATAAAAATAAAAAAAAAAAAAAAACAGTGTGTTGCACGAAACGCGAAGATTACATCGCTAATATACGTGTATAATATAATCCTGTTAGCGTGTTAAACTCGTACAACTGTCATGTAAAACTCGTCATCTGGATAATTCACGTGCTCAACGAGTGCGAATTTCTCCATAAATCATTGTCCGAATCATTATGTGTAAATCATAAATCAAACTGTTCTTCATTATTGATATATAATTTTCTTTTTATCTCGCACAACGAGAATATTGTGAGATTGTGGCAGCAGATAAGATGAATATTGTTTCTCTCTATCAAAATAAGAGTAATAATGAATGTAAATGATTTTTAAATTTACGTGTCATATGTTGTAGATAAATAATATCTTAAATCTTTCGAACTGTGTAACATCTGCGCGCGTTTTCTGCCAAGCCCCTTATACACATGATTAGAAGCTTCGACGATCGACGGGGAAGGGGGGAGATTCACGATTGTTAACGGGATATATTATATTTTTACCGTTATTATTCTTATTACTGTCCACACGAATTTATATATTGTTTCTTTATATTATTATTACTATTTTTTATAATTATTATAGTATTAATAAGTATTACTACTATATATATGTATTGCGATTTATATTTACACTGTTACGTTTAGACACTTACTAATGTCGCGGTTATTGTCGTCATTACTGTACAATTATTTAATAGAAATCTTGCCTCTCTTTTTGTAATAAATGTCTGAGTTTTTTTTTTCAGCGAGTCATTTAGTAAACGTCATTTCGGTCGAATATAAATTTGTATAACATACAAATATACTGGCGCTGTAAATATTATACATATTTTATAAATAAAATATTTAGTGTGATTGTAATATTAAAATATTGTACTAAAAACACCACTCTGTACACTCCACTAAATACATGGGTTAAATTTTAATAAATACATGATAAATATATGAACCTAAATCTGTTCCGTTTCTTTCTTCCATCCGCCGTTTTTCAAATGTGTATGTACTTTGGTTAGTTATTCAGAGGATAAATAAATGAATGCAGGTGTTCAATTTTATTTGAAACGGTATATTTTTTTCAGAAATACTTATTTTCGCGTAATCAATAAAAAATACAATACATATTATCTTCTGCATTTAACAATGTAATTACAATATTCAAAAATATATGCATTTTATAAATATTATATTCATAAGTGTTCTTAAGTTTTCTCTTCTTTGGTGTCTTTCTTTAGTTTTGACAGTGCAGTCTTGCCATATTTTGCTACTAATTCTTCAACAAATTCATCTTTCAATTTTTTAAGACATCTGTAAACAGTACAAATTCCGAGTCGTCAATATTGCGTGAACAAAAAGATATTTGATTAGTTCATTAAAAAAAAATTTTAATGAGGTTTTATAACACAAAATATGTTACCTTCTATACATGGAATTTGTTCTAAATTTTCCTATATCCAAGCTAGGGGCATGAGGTCGATGAATAATAAAAGTGTCTGGCAAAACTATATACCTGTAATTTCAAGGTTTGATTAAAATTGAGCACTCGGTTACTTCAGCCATATTTTATTGAGTAAATAAAATAATCATTGCGGCTTACTTATAACCTAATGCCGTTAAATGGGTCATGTAAGAAACTTTGTTCCATCCAAACCCGACGAACCTTGTGTCATATCGCGGAGCGGATTTTGAAACTACTATATAAGGTTCAAAATCTGGCTCCCATGAGACCTGCAATAACGCAATCTTAACATATAACGTATCGTCTTATTATAAATGCATTTATTTATTATATAATTGTAGCGACATGCATGTTAAATATCCAAAGCTTGGGTATTATTACACGTGTAAGACATACTTCATAAGGGTCTGTACTATTTCGATATAGACTGTAATTTGTCGCAGCGTGTCCTTGAGTCCAAACATGATAACGAAATGTATACAAGATGCCACGTTTGAGAAATTTGAGCAATTCCTCTTTTTTAATGGGAAACATAAACCTGTAAGATATATATATATATATAGATAAATAGATAGAGAGAGAAAGAGACTACTACTTTTATAAAAATATTAAACAGCTCTCTCTCTCTCAAATCTCACAATAATAATAAATTACCTGTAACGCTCAGTCTCAAATGCTGGCACGATAAGAGCTACTTTGTCCGATTCATTAATATTCAGTCGGTGTATGTAGCTCATGAGGTTTTCATACAACCCGAATTGGGGCAAAAAATCAACGTCAAGTTGGAAAATAAATGGCGTCGATACGTACAACATCGCAGTATTTCTTAAGTAATTAATAGGATAAAGCTCCTGAATGTAAAAAAAAAAAAAAAACGTCATTTTTGTACGCGTGAAAAGAAATTAATAACTTATTTTTCACAACGCACCCCGTCTTTGTACACAATGTGATAGGCAATGTTCCTTCTCGCTCGCAAATCCGCAGAACCTCTCACGAATTCCAGAAAGTTTTGTACCTCCGCGTCGGTCAGATAAAGCGCAACGCTTATGGTTCCCGACCAATGTTTTGACAACGCTTCTAGTAGCGGTATCCTTTCTACACTACACTGAGTGACTAGAGCAACATCCGTCGGCGAGTTGACGTTGTATTCGTACTCCAGAAGAAAGGGATGCGTGCGATACAAAATGGTAGCGCCCTTCTCGAATTCCCGACACGGACTCGACTCGTTGTACTAGAAAAGGGCGCGCGTCGGGTAACAGCATCGCGTCGAATAAAACAAATACCAAGAGATATAAGACTCTCTTAACTCACTGAAAGTGCACCCTCGTGCCTGTCACAGCCGAATAAACGTTTTCGCAACAAATTGCCGTCCATCTCGAGGAAGACTCGGTGCAGCTTTCGAAACTCATTAACGTGCTTATTGTGAACATCCTGCTTCCGCGGGGAGTTCCAGTGTAGAATCTAAAAGTATGCCCGATCAGAAATCGATTTGAGATCTTTCGTCGTCGTGTATGTATTAGAGCGAAAGCGGTGGAAGAGCGAAAGACGTTACACAGCGTGGTAAAACATACATTTATGCGATTGGAGTCGCGATAACACGTGTCGCTTAGCGTGTGATCGCTCAGCTGAATATTCCAGGTACATTCTATTCTGTGTACAATAGTCGGATTTTCGTGGATCATCGCGTTTATCACGTCCTGATCGGCCAGGCTGGTCTCCAGTATGTGCTTTAGCACGTTCCTGGTGACGCTCTCCCACGAGCTCGCAAAATTACCGTCTCGCAGGCGTCGCAGGTGCATCAGCATGACGCCGGTGTTAAATCCCCGACCCAGGGCCGGCCACGGCCGCTGCCCGTACGACAAGGCCTTCACGTACCAGTTGCTCTGATTCTCAACCAATCCGAGTGCCTGACCGTTCGAGAACTTCTCAAACATCTTCCAGAGCTGGTACACGTCGTTCAAGACGGTCACGTCCGTGTCCAGTACGAGAACCTTGTCCTCCCGCATCACGTCCGGTAGTATTAACTTCAAGAGACCATAAACCCCGGAATAGTGCTTGTTCGGTATCCACGAGACTCTCGGCACCCACGCTTCCGCATCGTAAAACGTTACGTTCACTGAAATCATCTGGTCGATCAATTGAGATGCGCGACAGAAAATATCTATCTATATATTACATCGCGTGTTTTTTTCACGTCACGAGGGTAAAGCGCGCATCAACTGAAAATACGCGTTAGAAACAAAACGAACAAAGATGTTTTTTTTTTTTTTTTATCATCTCTCTGCAGGGAAGTTTGATTTCAGAAAACTCTCTGCTGCAAAATATCGCGGATTCAATTAAACGGATTTTTTTTTTTCACAATTTCACGTTGACGCGGAAAAAGTTAATATATTTTTTTCTTCTTTATTTTTCTTTTTATTATGTACCAGTATACCAGTTACGTTAACGCGAGTATGGATAAAAATTAGGTTTTTTCCTCCGCGTGCGCGTCACAAAGGATGTGGAGTGCGTGTCCTGTCGTAAAAAGCGGGTATACAAACCATGCGGCAAATCCCACGTTCGAAACAAGGTCGAGAGCGTTCTCCTCGCAATTTCGTCCGCGAGCAAATGAAAATGCAACGGATTCGTGCGATAAAACAGAATGGACTTCACCACGGTTACGAGGGCAAAGGTTGAATTGTATCCGGCGCAAACCATGGCCACATGTATCGTGTCGCATTTCACCTTGAAAATGTGGAAACATCACTCGTCGGAGTGTGGAAAATCAATCTGTGTGTGTGAAAACCTCCCCCGGCGCTGAGAAGAAAGGAAATTTTCACGAGCATACCTCGAAATTGTTTCTTAATTGCGATTCTTCGGCCGAACGATCTTCCACCTGTAAATTCAGTCTTTCTATCTGTACCGGTGACGATCGCCATTTTCCTCCAACGTTCGACTTGCTTACTCCCGCGGATGGTACTGGAAACAACATTCTAATTGTTCACAGCGCGACAATGAGAGAGATCGATAACGATGCGACAATTACCGTTTAATAAGAGGTATAAGTAAAAAATCACGGTTGGCACTAAAACACCGAACAGACATCCTAGCCATGATCGAGCCATTGTAATATGCCGCACATGTTTCCCAATCCGCGATATGATGGCAAATTAGATTAGAAGCACGCTGAAATCTACGAAAGGAAACATTACATAATTCGAAACGCCCTCGTTTCTCATACGAATATTTTGAAATGGAAAGTTCGGTGCAGGGTTTTTCTTTTTTATGTGCAGGAATATAAGTAGGTTTTTACGAGGATAGAAAAAGTAAGAAATATTATTCATGCTCTCGATAAAATCTCCCAAAGAGATTAATCCCAAATTTGTCCCAGTTAAACGTAACTAATAAATCATTCCACCGATTTGGAAAACCGCATCATTATTATAATTTTGTTAGTAATCAATATTATAATATTTTGACAGAACACATTTTAAAAGCGTTATTAACAAGTGTTAATAAAAACTTGTTGTTTCGTTCGATATCTGTACTGATGAGTGACAAAAGTCAATAGATCATATATGTACATCATATTTAACGTGCCGGTTATAAATGTGTTACGTCCAATTTTCTCGCCTCACATAGATGATACTACGAACGTGTGACGGAATCATAATGCATGCAAATTAGTGCCGTCAATGAAAACGTTAATTTCTTGCATAGAAATTCGGACAATTACGCGGCAAGTGCAAATTCATGCATCAATATTCGATATACATGAAGGCGGTTGTTAACATTGTAAATAACGGCAATAAATAAACGAAGCTTGACATATGAGTTCTCTATTGTTTTTCTCCCTCCCTCTCTCTCTCTCTCTCTCTCTCTCTTTCTCTCTTTCTTTCCCTCTTGTGATTTTCAAGTCAGCAGTTTCAATATTGTGCAGTTTCCTTTCTACGCTTTTTCGTTTATTGATCATTGTAGAACTTTGAGATAGCGATATGAAAAGCCATTTTCCCCTTTGCTTTTATCCTTCACACACACACAAACACACAATGCACATATATAAACAATATTCACTTAATTTAATTTAATTTATTTTTACAGTTAATATTTATTTTTGTACCCAATATTTTTCAGTATTCACAAAGATCTGAACGATGAAAGAACAAATTGCATTTCACATCGCACAAGAAACGTACATAGAGTAGTCAATAATTTGTTTTTTTTTTTTTTTAGTATTTGTTTGCATTCGTATAATTGCGACACACAGTTGTGTGAGCTCTTTAAAATTAATATATAAAAACATTTGAAAGTCTAAAAAAAAGTTAATATTAATGAATGATTCATATGTATATATTTGTTTTTTCTTTTTTCTCGGGGCTTTCTGTATTCTGTGACACGTTCTAACTGCTAATTACACATATGTGACCTGGTTTACATTCTTGGACACTAACGCGTACTTATATAGCACATGTCTGAACATTTGATGGTAAAAAACGGAATAGTTTTTTTTTTTTTCGTTTCTTTTTAATAAAAAGTTCTTCCGGTGTATCATTCATCTCATAATATGTATAGGTACTCGTAAATTGTAAAATCCCTATGTATATACATGTTTCTATACGAGTCAATGAAAAAAAAGTGGATCATAAAAATGATAAAATATACTCTCAACACACAACTCGCTCTTTTAAACATTTTCTTCCTCAATATGAATAAGCGGCGAAATGAATTTCCAATAGAATACATAACACTCCGCGTCGGCAAGGAAATTAAAGATTCTCGCTCATATAAATCAGAGTAAATCCTCCGAGCTAGAAATAACGTTCTATTTTCTCGAAGAGAATTTTATATTGATTTTTGTTTGTTTGTACATACTTAAGTACATCTCAAGTTTTTAAAATTAACGCAGAGAGAGAAAAAGAGAGAGAGAGAGAAAGAGGAGAGAGAGAGAGAGAGAAAGAGAGCTGTTTCTCGACTATTGCGAAACGCGCAACATTAAAAAACCAAAAAAACTCGTACCTGCGTGTATTTATTTATCAGACGTGATCTCTGGTGGATCTCTCGTAAGTACCTGTCGTAAAGTTACAAGCTTTCGCTGCGATACGCGGATGATAATAAATGATAATGTAACCATCTCGTGTATGTATATACGTACCAGTGCCGGCTCGATTATCGTCTCCCGTACTGTCATCCGGCGATGGGCTAGTCCGATTCCGGGTCAAGCAAAAGTGCAATTGCGTACGATTTCTGTATGTGACGTGAGAATGTTGCCATGCATTCGACGAGTTCTGCCGTTACTGCCAGAAACGACGCAAATTATCGCAATTAACGACGACAATACACGTCGCGCACTCCGTAACAGGAAGTTTAACGCAAAGTATCACGCCGAAACGCGAGACGCAATAAAACGTCACGAAGAAACAACCGCTACCGTCGCGTGATAGAACCTCTCGCAACGTGTGTGTTTGTGACGTCGTCCTCGTCGCGAGATGGCACTAATATCTCCGTTACGTGCGGCTGCAGCTATTATAGGCATCGAATCGTACCAGCGTGCCGAGTTCTCTCCCGCCTCCGTAGGTAAAAATCTCTCCGCACGCATTGTGCAGCGCATTTTATTCCAAGCCTGTGTTCTACATTGACCGCAAGCGCAAACGCAAGGAACAGGTCTGGTAGAATTGACTAATCGTAACGATCAAATCAGCCAATTGACCAGCGTGATTGATCAATTCCACGAGATCTATACCTTGCGTTTGCGCTTGCGATCAACGTGGAACGGGATTTAACTACGCAAATTCACATTTTTTTTATACAGAATTGATCGAGAAGTCAAGAGGATCGTATCTGGACGCGATAACGGATAATCTGTCTGTCGTTTTGGCGGTAAGTTTGGAAAAATTAGCACGACTCTTATTTTACGAATTTAGTATCTGGAGTGGTCACATATTTTCAAATGATCAGAATATTCTTTTGTTTATTTTTATTATACGTGTTATTTATATTGACTCGATTCGTCAATTATTTTTATGCACTAAGTTGCTTCGTTATTGAGACGTGATTCAAATCAGACTATTAGTGCAACTTTGCGTATAAAGGACATTCCCTATAAGCGCGTGATATTATTTCATGTCAAGTAATATTCTGAACACATTTTTGGAATATTAAACGTACTGTTAATATTCATAGAATATTCTAGAATATTCTAAGGATATTGTGCGCTTATAGGGTTAGTACATAAAATCGAGTGTATACATTGACAAGAAATAATAATACAGCACAAATGATACAAACAACACTCAGCTCTTATTTGTCGTGTTAATATTATTTCTCGCTGATAGTTTAATACTATATATAAAAAAAAAAGACCATACATTGGCGCATTATCTTATACATATATTGTAGTGTTTTATAAAAACGATATTTAAAGAATTTTATGTCATAACGCATCAAGCTTTGTAACCCATATAAAAATACATTTAAATATATATTAGTTAAAAATTAAATAATGTTAGTAACTTATGGATAAAAACGGTGTAAAAATGCAGAGTGATGTGAACAATAACGTACAAAATTTTGATTTATATCTAAAAAAAATTTTGATACAAAGTCGACTAATTAATTAATTTCCGTAATTTTACTCGAGTAGGGCACAGACTCGTCGTCCTCGATCTTTCGCAATCGTTGTAGTTCCGCTTGCCGTGTTCTGAAAATTGAATTGTTGTATGTATTAGTTGTGTGCACAGTGTCGAGCACGGTAAAGTCTACATCTGAAGCGAAGCAAATCTCTGATACCTTGCAAGAATTTCGTCCTGTTCCCGTTGATTTTTACGACCCTTAAGAAGTCGGTACCCGACGCAGACGATTATCAGCAATATAGGAACCAGACAAGCGAGCACTATGCCGGTTGTGATACCCGCTTCACGAGAGCTATATTCCTGCTGGCCTGCGCACAGTGCATAACAAGATAGATACACACGTTGCACATAAATATACGAAAAATAATTGTAATCACACAAAAACGGATGAACTGGAAGTTGCGACACGCCTTTCATCATCATCCGACCGCGGAGAATGATATTTCTCTAATTGCAATTATATAACGTTAAAAAAAAAAATAAAAGGGAGAAGGAGAGAAGTTGATGAGAGAACAAAGGAATATAAAAAATTTATGATAACACTGGTAGAAATTTCCATTCCATTCTAATGCCGTTCCAACGTGCTGCATCGTAATGATAATCGATTTTGTTGTCACAATCATTCTCTGCGCATGCATGTGGAATAGAAATTTCTCTTGTGATTTTCCAAAAAAAATGTTGTATAAAATTTTATTACAATAAACTTGTACACAGTATATGAACACAAATGTTATGATATTAACTTACTGTAAATCTAATCAACATTTACTGCGTATAAACCGACGTTACAACCGAATTGTTGTTGTTATTGCGTTTTAATCTTACGCTTGGAGACGCGTTTTACGTTTGACGTTTAATTTACATTAACTGGCATTTCACGAATAACAGCGATAATGTACAATTCTTAAAAAATACACAAATATATTTTGCATCTATTTCTATTCCACAGCAAGAACAGTAGTATCTCTATTATCTACATGTAAACACACCAATGGCACTTAATGATACGAAAATGCGATAATGAAACTATATATTTGGAGTAAAAATGTTTATCCGAAATATATTATCCTAAACTTTGTAAAAAGAAAAGGTCTATTTCAATTATTTCTTCTTCCGTAAGATTTCGATCAATATTATGTCGAATTTTGATCTGTGATATTAATTTTTTACGTAATACAAGATATGCGCTGTTTTTCGAAAGTAGATGTGTTGTCATGGTCACATTCATACACACACATACACACACATTTTTTAATTAAAAACAATTGAAATCATCATTCTTTGCTAGCGAAAAATGTAATATGTTCTTCTACTCCTACTAAGAAAAATTTCCTAGTATTAGTATTGCTGTGAGACAAGCGCGTATCATCTACACGTCGCTCTCTTTAGTAGGACTGCCCGTCTTTCTAATCGAGTCCGTGCCCGAATCCGATCCGGTGGGCGACAAGGGTTCCTTCAGATCCCATTCTTTTTCTTCGAAGTCAATATCCGGTCTATTGGGCAAAGGTTCGTGCGTATGATAAACTCTGTCGTAACTACGGCGCTTCCTGGCGCCGCTGTTAGTATCAACCGTGCTAGAGTCGCTAATTGGAGTAACAGTTCTATCATCGTACGACTTTAGCGGCCCGGTCGGTTTCAACAATGTGGAATCATCGGTAGCGGAGTCATTGCCGCTATAACGCCACGATTTCGTCGAGCCTCCCCGCGTATGGTTTTTTCTTATGTAAAGGAAACCACCGACGATGCAGGCCACCACGGGGACGAACACGACGGCAATAATGCCCATTACGGTCCAAGCTGTACGCTGAACGTACTCGACGTAACCTATATATATATATTTATATATATATACATATAATAAAATATAATAAGCGTCAATCGGTGCTGCACACACGTGAGAAGACCCGCCTATTGGATTGGAAAATCCAATGAGGCGAAAGAAAGAAAAACGACATAGAAAGAAAAACAATGTTATAAAGTAGTTGAGAAATATGTAAAAAAAAAAAAAAACGACAAAAAAGTTGCACTTTTTTTTTTTTAAAGCACTCGACGTTGTTTCGTTAATAATTTTTTTGCAAGCTCGTCTCGCTAGAAGTATTTAATTACTCGATCTAACTTTGAAACCGAGTTTTCGATATGCTCCGAGCATTTTGATTCGATACGCTCCGAAAGTTAAGTAGTCTGATAAACGCGCGAGTCATTTGATGACTTTCTCCCTCCGCGTAATATCCCATTCCTTATCTCTCGCTACCTCGTTTAGGATCGTTAAAGCCGTGGTACATGGTGAAAGTGCAGCGGGACGTTTGTATTGAATAATAGCTTAGAATACTCACGAAGACATTCCGTGTACCCGTACTCCGGCGTATTCCAGTGTCCTTCCGGCGTACACACCCGACGCTTATCGCCAACGAGTATGAAATCTTGATTGCACTCGAAACTCACTTTCGTCCCCGGGATGAACAGGAAATTGCTCTTACGCCCGAACCGCGGTGTTTCCAGCACACCGCAAGACACAACTTGAACATCAAATATTCATACGTGTCGTGAATGTGTCAAAAGATATTATCGCGCAACACACAAATCGAAATTCAATAATACGTCAGAGATTTCTAAAGTTGAACATCAATGATAAGAAAAAAACGTTTCAATTTTACTTACTCTCTTCTTTGTTCAACGTATTGATTTGCTTGTACGTCTCGTAGTAATTTCTGGTAAAGTGCGCCAAATCACGATTTAAGGTCATAACGTAGTCATATTGACACTGATACGACTCGCCGCACAACTCCATCGCGCGCTCGATATCGTGCGATCTATTTACCGGGAGTATCTCCGTTGGGTACTTTCGATATTCGGGTTCGAACGTGCGATTAGCGTAATGGCTTGCTGTTCTACCGAATTCCCTGAAGAACAGAGGCATCACTCCTTTCAGCTTGGACTCCTTGTCCTCAAGCATCCAATGTATCGCGAAATTCTTATGAATAGATTCCGAATGATTCACGGAATTGATTGGGACCTGATACCCGTCGGGACTCGTCAAGTCGTCCACTTTATCAAAGTTCCATATGCCAAACAAGCCTCTTGTTCTATTCTGTTAGGAAATAATGAAATAATGTCTTCCAATAATATCTCTTCCAAATAATATCTCACAAATTTAAAAGAGAGAGAGTGTGTGTGAGAGAGAGAGAGAGAGAGACAGAGAGAGAGAGAGAGAGGTATATATTTACAATTTTATGACGCTAGTTTCTCAGTTTCTACAAAAATAATATTATTTGCTGTTTTTCTTACCAAATATGTCCACGGTAGATACATTCGCGCGGACATGAATCCCTCGTTTTCCACAACTTCCACGCCAGCACCGGTGTCGAACATGATGATTACTTCGCTCTGATTCAGAATGTACGTCGGAGTGTAAACGACAACGCCGGGAAAATGTTGGAACTTCAACGCTTTTCTGTCGAAGTACACTTTTTGACCATCCGCGAGCACATCAAGTCGATACCTCCATTGCGCATCTTTCGGTCTCAAACGGACTTCGATGGTAGCGGAATTGTTACCTCTTGCTAGATAGAGACACGAACCAATTGATTGTGCGCGCATATCGATATAAACATATAAACAAATATATTTGTTCTTCTGTAAGATAAGACGCTTTACCCGCTACCGAGGTGAGATGCGTCGCCATCACGTGTCCGTAAGCGTTATCCGGCAATTGCTCGAATCTACCTTGCACATCGAGCTTGTCCCTAAGGTCGTTTACTCGCAGCAGAACAAATTCGCCTTTACCGTTGAACGTATACTCGACGCCGTCAAACGTAACGAAGTGAGGATCACCGAACACCGTTGACACCCCTGGAGATTGATACGCTATGCAATCCTGAGAAGGTCGTCTCTCGAATCGGAACGTTTCACAACCGACAGCTTGCTCTTCCTGCCAAAGACAGCACGTGTACATAGGCACCATGTCGTGGTACCAGTGCGAAAGGGTTGGAACTTTGTTAGCCTCGTTCCAAGGGAAATAACCCAAGTTGTGCGAACGATGCGGTCGTGATCCCCATTGTTGATCGTACGTTAACATCAAATATCCATTTCTGTCGTAACAACATTGCTGTTCCGAACCGTCCAAGCTGTAAAAATAGCGCGAATATGAGTAAGTATTCATGAAAGAATGTGTGTAAGCAATTAACATTTACTTGAAAATCAATTTTCAAGCTGTTGAATTGTAGGTACACAGTGATTTGCTCGCAAGCTTATACCTGAAGAAACGTTTGAAGATGTCATAAATGTCGAGTTTGTTTAATGATGTGAAAGGGGGGAATAGATAAGAGAGTGTTATCTTTCTAAAATGTTTAAAGTAGTAGTGTATCAAACAAAAGAATGAATCACACTTACTTGGGCGCACCTGTCCTCACGCAGTGACGAGCGCGTTGATTGTAATAACAATCAGGATTGGAGTCCTTGTCGCAATTGTAATCTGGTAAGAAACGGCCTTTATCGTACAAAGCGTGATCGAGAATGCAGGGACAAAGTGCTACGTCAGCTGCGAAATTCTTGAGATATCGGTCGTTCATAATCCACTTGTCGCAGATCTTCTGTGGCCATTTCGACCCGTATAGTCTTTCCCATTGGGAAGTGAAGTACCACGCGAGCGGAATCGGTCTGCTCCACAAGCTCCTGCTCCACAAAATTGAAATCAAAATTTGAATTATTCCGGTTGTTAGATTGAAGAAAAAAAAACGCGTCTTTCTTCTCGCGCGAAACCTTACGGCGTTAACGAGAGTCCGGAATACAAGTGCGGATCGGTCAAGTTGATTTGGAGAAAACCGAACACCATGTCTGTGTGATAAGGATTGTACGTGTCTCGATATCGGGCCGGTTTAATAACGTAACTGCCGATATTTTTGTGCGATCTCTGAAAAAAAACACGAACGCATATAAGCACTTAATCGCTATTCCCCGCGGCAACTTCTTATTAATCGCATCGTATTTATCAACACGCACAAACCTCTATAGTTGTTATGTATTCAAACTCGGGAGTTGTCTTAGTCTCTCTGTAACCCCATAACGAAATTTGAATGTCCGCATCGCTATTGGTCGTCAAGTTATATGCGTTCCATGTGATCTTGATTTCCGCCGGGTCTTTCTGATGAACAGCCTCTTTATCGCTGAAAAAAATTCTCTCCGTCGCCGTTGCCGGAGTTTCTGCAAGCATTTATAGTATAAGAGTGACATGGAAAGGAATGTATTTTTTTTAGAGTCTTGTCACGATTAATTAGAATTATAATTAATGGAACGATTAATAGTTATAAAAAAGTGCAACGTTGAAAAACGAGACGACCATCTTACCGACAAAGTATTTTCCCTTCCAGTCGTAAGTTCCACTGTCGATAGCAATGTAAAAACCTATGTAGCCTTCGTATTTCAAGAACGGTTGCACGCAAATCGCGCGATTTTTGTCCACGACCGTGCCCAACACCACCTCGGTCTCGAAACGACATTTGATTTTCTGAGTCTCGTTGAAACACGGTCCTGTTATGTTGACGACCGTACCACCCAACATGTTGCCGCTCTCAGGCGCAAAAACCAACGGCAAATGAGCTCCAGCTGTGCAACATCACGCGCGTAAATAAGATCAACCATATTGTGTTCTTTAATCGACATTTTTTTTTTTTTTTTAACTATCTTGCTTCTTCTCTTGTTTTTTCTTACCGATATCTTTGTTGCAAGTGCCCAACATTATTTTTTCGTCAATCCTGAAGATATGCCGACCTGGAAAGCCGTTCGCCCATCCTCTGCTCGTTAAATCGCGTATTGTAGTGGCTTGCGAATAAGGTTTGTACTCGTAGCTTTGAGTACCGTTTCCGGCATTGAACCCAACCTTTTGATAAATTAATGTTGTTTTTTTTTTTTTTATCAAAAATCACATTTTATACTTTTCTATATATTCAGTTCGGCAACTTAAATGTTTCACAATTAATTGCTTACGTATGCGGGAACTCCGTTCTCGCCTAAAGTTGTGTCACCGCCCGCTTCCGTGTGACTTGTCCATTGGATGTTCAAATAATTAAAAATGGCATATGTGTAAACTTCGTCGGTAGCCAAGACCAATTGAAACGTGTTTGTTCTATGAAGAGACGAGTCGATGCCACCCGTGAAGGACATGTTCTTCCAGGTTGCGATAATGGCGTGTTTCGGTACGAACGAGTCCGCGCCGACGACACCCGTACGTATGTCCCACATCAGCCGTTCTCTCATTTCAATGCCGAACTGATCGGTTCTCCCTTGCAAATCTCTCTCGAGTCTGAAGGAATAATAATCATTTCTCGTAAATTTCTTCGATTATGTGCGGGCAAAATAGAAATTTATTATTTGCATAAGCGCGTACCTAAAGTACACCCCCGGTTTTCTCTGATCGACGTCGGTCTCTCGAATTTTACCTATGCGACACTTGCTGAAGAAAATCCCGATGAAACTAGGATCGTTCTTCTTAGGCCAGTCTTTTATCGGAAATACAAGCGGATAAGTATAATGCTCCGGTGGATCGCTGAATTCCAAGTATCCGTTAACCGTTAACTAGAACGATGAGTAATATCTCATTTAATTGCATATGTATTGCGCCTTTATCAGGCAAATTTATTAAGAATTATACGTTCATTGATTTCTAGTGAATTACAGAAGTGATCGAACAAGTGATTATACTATTGAAACTTATATGTAAAAACATTTATATATGCAAATCGTACTCTTGTGTAATTGAATCTAAAGCCGAAGAAAGGCAACTGAAAGTTCAAGTTCTTGTGTATTTGTAAATTCGTCGCTTGCAGAGCCGATTGATAATCTCCTTTGTTATCGTCGCCACCCTTATCGAAGTACCAGTACATAAACTGCGATCGAATTTCTTTCAATCTCTGGTCTGTTAGTACGTAAGAAGGTGGATTATCGTCCGAACGAGGCGCGTATCTTTCAGCTTCAGGCAAATTCGAGTCTGCATTAAGAAATAATATCTCGATCAAAACAATATTATTAAATATAATTTACAGCGCAATAGTTTCTGTAATGTTTCACATAGAGAATAGCTTCTTGAAAGTGTTATTAGTACAAAAAAAAAAATATATATAGAAATATCTCATATTGTTTTTTCGCTATTTTGCGCAATTGACAATTTATCGAAATAAACTTCAATCGTTTTATTTTTTATTTTATTTTTTATTTTATTTATTTTGTGTGTTTTTACGTATGAGCTCACGATTCTATTGAAATAACTCGTCTCATCTAATGAATCATCTACGATTCATTTTAAGCTGAACAACTGATAACATTTCTGCACTTTATGATAAGCTGCGATATGGATTGTATAGTAGCCAAAGAACCTAAATATATAGATACATATGTGTTGCGTCTCAGTTTTAATATTGTGGTTTTGAATAATAAGTATTTTTTTAAGACGTTTTTAATAAAAAAAAAAAAAAAAAAAAATGACTAAAAGCTGCAAATTTCGAATCTGTTATTTCTCATTGCGAAACGATGGTCACGCCCATTGATAACGGGAATCGCTTACCGTATCTTACATATTTTCCATTCTTTTCGTCTGCCATTTTACCGGAAATAGTCTCGACAGCGTGCAACTTTGATTCGGGCACGATTTTTGCTATGACATCATTTTCGGTACGAGGTAAAACTGGTATCGGATTTTCCTCGCCGTCGGATTTCTCGACGGGAGTTAAATCTGTCTCTTCCTCCGCGAGATCTTCGACTTCTATAGGGGTTTCCGCTTCTTCTTCCGCGCGCGTCGGCGATCCATTCTCCCACGAATTGTGTTCCTCAAATGACTCGCGCGAAATCAATCCGAATGCACTTTCAAACGTCTTATTTTCGATTTGCGCAATACTGGCACGAGGAGTTAAAAATAAAAAGAGACAAGCGAGAGGAACGATTCGTTTTGGCGATGCGAAAATGCAATCGAGCATCTTTCGCGACGCTCGAGATCGCATTTTCGTATAAAATCGGTGACGTTACGAACTAATTACTTTAGCACCCACGGCGAAACTGAACTGGAAATCAAGTAATACAAGGCGCGATAACGATACTGATATCATCGGCCTCTAATGTGATAACGTACATTTATCTCTCTACTACAGGAAGATACGCAACATGTTGAACGGGAGAAGACCCACGTGTCCCAGATAAAAAGGGCGTATCCGTTCATGAAAAAAAAAAAAAAAAATGCACGTTTGTCGGAAAATATTAAATTCTTCTATAAACTACATTAAAACTCACTTTACTTTAGAGACAAATTATTTATTCGACTTTCGCAATTGTTCGATATTTACAAAGCAGATATCCCTAGTTCTTAATTACTTCGAAAAATGTACCAAACTCTTTTTTTATTTTTACGCGCCGCGCGCGCGCGGACGATAAGTTTTACAGTATGTGCAGTATACATAGCAAATATTATAAGGATACTTTATCGAGTACTCGTTATCAACGATATCTTCTTGCTTTCTCTATGAATGAATACTTATATATATATATATATCTATATATATATGTATATATTAGAATACTCGTTATACGCATAATAAAATGCACAATTTAAAAAAAGAAATCAATGTTTTATGTAGTTACATCCTTAAAAAACAAGTGCAACAAAACATTTGTTTTTTTTTTAGCGCGATAGTTTTTGTAAAATCTAAACACAAATTTCTCGTTTTTAAAATGTGTCTCACGCTACAAATGTATCATAAAATAAATATTACATATCAACAGTGAAAGATACGTCTACATAACGTGGCATATACAATAGCACTTAGTTTCAGGCATGTTTTCAGGGATTTTGCTTATAGCGTATAGAACTTTCTTTTCTGTGTGCATAACTCAAATATTTCTAGATATGTATACTGCAAGGATCTTAAAAGTAAGGGAAAATTATGAGATTTTTGTACTGTAATAGTATCTTATATATCAATATTGTCCAAATGTTTACAAAAAAAAAAAAAACTATATTACATTTTTATATGCTGTTCGGTGCTGTAAATGTTTTCGATTGGTGGTACGTATCACAGAAGAAATCTACAAAAAAGAGTCACACAGAAGGAATCCAAAAGAATTAAAAAATAAGACGCGTACGTCTAAAAGAGACATTTGTCCAAACTGTGTTTTCGTAGAGTTTACAGCGATAATGGTAAAATATAATGCTTCGGACATGATTTATACACTTGTTGATCATTTATACACTTGTTAAGTGAAAAGAAGTTTTTATAACGTTTTATTTGTAATGAAATAATTTGTTTGTTCGGATTCTTTTTTTTTTTTTTTTTTTTTTTTGTGAACATTACGATGTCGAGGCATTATCTCCATTGCTGTCCATGTATCCACTAGATCCATTCATGACAAATGATGTTCCCAAACCGTATAGATGTCCGCAATATTTAGCATCATCAATATTATCTTCAAAAAACATCTGGAGTGACAAGTTTAGACAAATTAGTATTATGAAATTATTTGACAAAGTTTATATCATAGTGATGTAAATCACACATACCTCTCGCATTTTAAAAAAGACCATACCAGTGAGGAGAGAATCGGAACCAGCTTGATGTTGTGGACCAACTCTTTGAATTTCCAGTTGTTCTGCCACTTCTTGTAATCCGCCTTTCAAGTTCTTGCACGATTTCATTAAATACTGTAAATTTAAATAAGTGAAAAACATATTGTAAAATTACACGTGTCTTTCTAGTTTTCTTCTTTGATTTTTTCTTTAAAAACAATTCTACTCACTTTTACATCATATATTGTGGGAAAGTATATCCTAAGAAGCTCAAAAAATTCACTTTCTTCTTGTGGCAATTTTTGATCCGTGAGTAATTTCAGTAAGTAACCAAAATCGTAGCCAGAATGAAAAGATAGCCATTTTATATCATCAACAAGAACAATTCCCGATGTCATCAACAGTTCGGCAAATTCTAAAGGATCTATACCTTCTTCTTCATGTTTCTTGAACTGTATACCACTATTTTGTAACATGTCTATACTATCCTGTGCATACATGTCTTCACTAGCAAGAACAAAACGTAATTCATTATCACACTTTGGTAAAAAAAAAAAAACGTCTAAAGAAATGTAACATAATTCAGCACACTCTAAACTTTAAAACATTAATATATAAGTAAACTTACTGTAAGTTAAATTTGAAATTAAACTGCCATGTTGTATAGCTACCGCCCGGCGTATTTCCAGATTCATCAAGAAACGTAAGACCAAGTTGAATTATTCGTAACAGATCTACGTTACAACGTAAAAGCTGATATTGATAATCAGCGTTGGTTCTGAATTCACCTGTGTCCCAAAACAATATTCGCAAAATACACAAATCTCTTCAAAAATAACATATGTTAAAATTCTAAAGGTGTATTTCTTTACCAATAGGCCTAGCTACAACACCCGGAAATTCTGTATCCATCGCAATATATTGATATTGCTGGACGACTTGACGGATTGTACGAAATTCCTCTTCCAAGTTGTGACCCCATACATCTCGAATTCCGCATTCTTCATTACTGGGCATAGTCCCACTCTTTTGCTGCCCTATTGGGTTTGTCCCACCTAAAACGTTTCCAGAGTTAGATAATAATGTCAAATAAGACAAAGAAATACAGTTTTTATGTATATAAAATTTAGTTTATCGTACAGAATGTCCAAAATCCAAACATGAAGTTTGAGATTATTATTACAGAAGAAATATCAGGAACATGAAAGTATATATAAAACTTTTATAATAAAAACCATGTATATCTCTTAAAACATTTTTTTTGTAAATGCATATTTCAAAATATGCAGAATTATAAAATGCGTACATGAAAAAAATTACTTCTTTATTTTTGTAACACAGGTTTACATAGTTTTTAGTTGGTCAACTTTTATTTTTCTTTTTTTCTAATTTTCAAAAAAAACATTAAAATGAATTTTTTAACTACACCTTCTACTAGTTGCACATTCTTCAAAAATTTTGGGTAAAAGCATATTTTCTCTGGTGTTCTCAGTGTTTGCATATTTTGCAAGAACTTCATAACATGTACTAATATGTTATGACACAGGACTTCTACATAAGACTTCCTTTACTGCATGTATTTTCATCCGCTCTTGGTATCAGTCCGTTATTTATTTTCCTTTTATTCTCCTGTAATACGCATGTCCTTTATTTATTTACTAAACATGTATGTTCCACTTTCATTGTTCCTGATTTAGTGTTCATCCAACATATAAAATTTAACTTTTCTAATTTGTGAACTTAATCAGAAATCTTACATGTATAATGCATTATGTCTATTGTGGACAACAGCTTTTATTTACACCGAATATTATATTACATGTATTTTGTGTTGCATGCAGGAATTTAAACACATATTATATACATCTTACGCACCGGCAGCTGAAGGCATATTCTTGCATATACCTGGATTACTCTTATCTCTAAATTCCTTCTAATATGGCCTTTCCTTCTTCATATCACTGTAAAAATGCAAATAATTAATGATAACTTATGAATTATATTAATTGCTTGCACAATATCTTTATCCTTAGTTGTTATATATTAACTAAAAACAAGTTATACAAATATAATCATTATATATACACATTGTAACAATAATTGCTCATTTTATAATAGCTAACAAACACAAAGGTTATGGATGATAAGTAAACAACAACAATAGTTCATCACAGTGGACATCATGTGGAAAAACCAAACGCAAAGCGATGCAAGAGCATGGACGAGCGTTACAAGAGATCATTGTGAGAGCACGAGGTACGGTATACAACTTGTTATTTGTTAAACAAGTTTATTGGTGAGAAATCAGGTTATGCGTCCTAACGTAACGGACGTTTCTTGCTCACGGCGATGATAAATGTGCAGCAAAGTGTACCTCTCGATATTCACAAGCTAGCAATGTCTAAGCGTGAAACCAAGTAATTAAAGTTGCACTTGCGAACTCACACGATTCTATTGTGTCAAATCATGAACAGTTTAAACAACTTCTTCCAGTTCGCGACAACACTGTTACCGTTTCTATCCATACGCGCAAGTCTCAACCCTCGTTCAACGAAATACGCATGCGCTTCGGTCGCCGCTGATACTAAAGTTAACGGTTTGTGCGCCGTATCACAGACTATTGCAGATGATCGCTGTACGATACCGCCATCTACAATCATTTCACATTTTTCGAAATAATACACATTACAGCGCTCTTTTCACATACAATAACAATAACAAAACTGAAATAATAATTGATGACTACTGATGATAATATAACGCACAAAATAACATTTGTTTTTGTTCGTTAAAGGGATCCTAAAGTGATTCGTATTTTTTGCGATCAGCCGAGACTGAGTCTTTTGGCGTCAGTTTGTAGTGATATTTGCTTAATATAAAAAGCTGTGCAGTTTATATGTAGAAAACAAACTGCATCCCGAATGCGGGATAACACAAAAAATAATATAGGATCCTATATTTAAAAAGGCACGAGTCGAATCGAATCGGTAAGATCGAGAGAGTAAATAATAAAAAGCGATTTTGAGACAGTTCGTCGTATATGTAGAGAAAATTAAAAACGTAACTAAAGTCATGTGACAGGAAAGAGTAGAAAAACAACACGTGAAAATAACGTGACTGTAATTTATATTA